GAGGGGGAGAAGTATTATTATTATTTATTTATTTTTATAGATGTTGCCCAGTATGTCATGACAGTATCTTCTACTCAAGATTATCACTTATTAGTGAATATGGTGAGCTGCACTCACTCACCTCCTGTCTGTATCATATTGTATTGTATAGATGAACCAGGATATTGTGGGCAATAATATTTATAATGACACTCTAACTATTTTTTCAATACAACTACACAATACTAATGACAAGTAAGAAGAGAGAGAGAGAGAAGGTTAAGATTATTTTGTTTTTTATTCTTTAGTTCTAGTACTGCAGTGATACTAGTTACTGTTGTCATAGCAACAGAGGAGGGGTCAGGGTGTCCATTGAGATGTAGAGAAGAATTGATCGAGTTTTTTAATTTGAGAGGATCAAGTTTTAAACCGTCTTTCACTGTCACTGGCAATATTACAAGATTTGGTAAGTATATGATATTCCATACTATAGCTATTATACATTCATGTTAGATGGTTGTGACTCAGAAGTTACTGATTCAACATTCAATTGGACAGAAGTTAATATTGGGAGTACATTAAGAATAGACTGTCCTTGTGGTGGTCTGTCATTAGGGACTGGTTCACCAGTAGCTATAAGAGCTTGTACTGGTAGTTTCACTAATGGAGCATCTTGGACTGAACCCAATACTACACAATGTGACTTTACTAATGATGTACTCTCTTTATGTAATGTAACACAGGTGAGAGAGAGAAAGAGAGGGAGAAAGAAAGAAAGAGAGAAAAAGAGAGGAAAGTTTGGTAAGAGAGAGAGGGAGAATAAGAGTGTTCATTTAATAGTTACACAGTTAAGATTGGATTAGTAATACAGTAGTAATTCATTCACCAGTAGTGAATTTTATAGAAATTAGAATTCCCAATTACCAAAGTGATATCATATTACATGATTAATTTATCATTATTCTTGTTTTATTTTAGTTGAATTCCACCTTTCAAAAACTAACCGAGTTAGAGTCACTGATTGCTTCACCACTGGACAGTGTTCAGCTGCTCATTACTGTTAGTCTAATGGAGACTTTGAATGCAGAGGCCTCTGAATCAAATACTGTTAGTAATGATATTAATAATAGGAGATTAGCTCTTTCCTTTTTGTAGTCATTAGACGTATTTTTGAACATTTTAGAAAGAGTTATTAGTCAAGACTCGGATTTGCTCCAGTCTACTCAGACTACAAGTAATACTTCGCTTAGGTAAAAACATTATGAATTGATTATCTTTGTATAGATGACTTAACATTAATGTCCTATTGCTATTCAAAATTTCAAACTTCAATTTTTAGAGATGTTTCCATTTATAAAAGTAGAAAATTTTCAAAAAAATGAAAGACTTATAGCCCATGGTTTTTTCCAAAAAATGGCTCCGAAATCACCCCCAATTTTTATTACATTTTCTGATACATATTGATGCCCTTATGCTATGTAGAAAGTTTGAGCCGATTCCGACTTCAATTTTTCAAGTTATGACCACTTTTTTAAAACTTCAAATTTTGGAAAAATACCCTGTACTATAGCCCATGGTTTTTTCCAAAAAATGGCTCCGAAATTACTTCCAATTTTTATTACATTTTCTGATACATATTGATGTCCTTATGCTATGTAGAAAGTTTGAGCTAATTCCGACTTCAATTTTTTGAGTTATGACTATTTTTTAAAAACTCCAAATTTCGGAAAAATACCCTGTACTATAGCCCATGGTTTTTTTCAAAAAATGGCTCCGAAATCACCCCCCATTTTTATTACATTTTCTGATACATATTGATGTACTTATGCTGTGTAGAAAGTTTTAGCTGATTCCGACTTCAATTTTTCAAGTTACAGCCATTTTAAGAAAACGTCAAATTTTGGAAAAGTACCCTGTACTATAGCCCATGGTTTTTCCCAAAAAATGGCTCCAAAATCACCCTGAATTTTTATTACATTTTCTGATACATATTGATGTACTTATGCTACATAGCAAGTTTGAGTGGATTCTGACTTCAATTTTTCAAGTTACGGCCATTTTAAGAAAACGTCAAAATTCTGAAAAATACCCTGTACTATAGCCCATGATTTTTCCCAAAAAATAGCTCAAAAATCACCCTAAATTTTTATTACATTTTCTGATACTTATTGATGTACTTATGCTGTGTAGAAAGTTTGAGCTAATTCCGACTTCAATTTTTCAAGTTACAGCCATTTTAAGAAAACGTCAAATTTTGGAATAGCCCATTGTTTTTTTCAAAAAAATGGCTCCGAAATCACCCCCAATTTTTATTACATTTTCTGATACATACTGATGTACTTATGCTACGTAGCAAGTTTGAGCGGATTCCAACTTCAATTTTTCAAGTTACAGCCATTTTAAGAAAATGCCAAAAATATCTGAAAAATACCCCTATCTTATAGTCTTTAGTTAATTTCACATTTTTCCTCATGTAGAGTCTTGCAGATCATTGATGATACATTAGCTCAGATGCCTCTTCCTTCCAGCTCACTGATAATGACTCGTCCTTCCTTTACTCTAGCAGTCCAGGAAGTCCCACCATCAGATGGAGCCGTTTTCTCTTTATCACGAAACCAAAGCGTTTCTCTCACATATTCTAATACTTCTACCGACCCCATGTCTTTAATCCTTCCTAGTAACTTTACTTTTAGCTCCTCTGATTCTGTTAGACTCACTCATGTTATTTTTAATTCTTCTGCACTCTTTCCGAATCTTCCTTCAAATCAGCGTGTGGCCAGTCTTGTCATGGCAACGTCTTTAATTGGCCACACCCTCTCATCTCTTGTGAATATCACGTTTGAAAGGACTGAAGTAAATTTTGTATATATTTTTTTATTTTTTTTAAATTTTATAACAGGTTGAAGAGAGTTTCTCAATGGAGGCTTGCAATTTTTTTAACTTTTCACTAAATGGTAAAATAAAAAACGATGCGCACTAAAATTCATTAAAAAATTCCTAGCACTAGCAGCATAAATATTAATAATAAAAATTGTTTTTAGGCAATCAAGGAAAGTGGTCTACCAAAGGCTGTCAAACATCATTCATTAATAATAAGATACGCTGCACTTGCGATCATTTAACTCACTTTGCAGTTATTGCAGTAAGTTTTGAGATTCAGTGTATATCAGCTAAAGTTCACCAATTACCATTAAAAATGTATTTTTAAGAATTACCTTAATTATCATCAAATTTAACACCTTTCCGATATCCAGTGCAGTTGAGTATAATAATGGTATGTTTATTGTTATGATAAAGATAAGCTGGATGTTGATCCTTTGATGAATGTACTACAAGTGTAGATTACTATTACTACTGCTATGGATGTTTATTACTCAATGTATGAAGGATGTTGACTTGTACCATGGTTCGCTGCTTGGAGGATGTTGATGAGAGAGAGTAGTGTGTATTTATATACATTTGTGTATATATCTACATGCGTCACAAATATTCATTCAACATCCTCCACATGACAGGATGTTTTGTCAAGCATGAATATCATTATAGTCCTGGCTGTCAACAGCTTTTGACTGTATAATTGCATTTGTGCAGTATTGTATTAAGAAGAAGCAGAGAGAGAGAGGCAGAGAGAGAAGCAAAAAGGAGGAGAGATCATAAAGCTTTGCTTTTTTGCAGACATCTTCAGAAGCAGAACCACCTACTGTTGAGATGGCTGACCCACCCTCTTATCTATTGGCACTGGAGTCTTTGTCCATTGTAGCTGTGTCTTTCTCTCTTGTTTTCTTTATCATAACTTTAGTCCTGTTCTTGGGTACCTGGTAAGCCTACATTATTAGTTGCTTCATGACTTCATCTTCTTCTCTTTGCTCTACTTTCTCCCTCTATATTATAGGAAATTACGTATCAAGACTCCAATTCAATTACTTGTCAATGTCTGTGTTTCTCTCCTCCTCCTCTATCTCATGTACATTGGTGCTCTCTATGCTAGGACTCATGAAAATGCCTGCATTGTCTTTTCTTCATTTCTTCATTATGCATTCTCAGTCTCCCTCCTTAGTTTCGTAGGCCACAGCATTCACATCACACTCAAGGGATGCTGTATGCCTATTAAACACTACACACTCATTGCTGTTATACTCTGCTGGGGTGAGCTAATCTTATCATTATTATTATTATTATTATTATTATTATTATTATTATTACTATTATTATTATTGTTAATGTCATTTTTTATAGTCTTGCCTCTGTTCTTGGTGACATTTTGTGTGGCCCCTGGATATCATTTATACACAAGTCAAAGATTGTAAGTGACTGTCAGCAATTCCTTCATGCTCTGCATATTCTGCTATAATAGCTGTAGTAGATCCACCACTAAAGCTGGTAGTTTTCATTGAAATGCCTAGCATTTAGTATCTAATGTATTCAGCTTTTCATTGTGCATGTATGTGCAGGGTATGTGATGCAACATTCAAAATTCATTGTGTGCAATAGTAACCATGCTACTTCTTATTCATGGGCTGGTGGATGTTCCTTATTGTTCAGCAGTTGTTAAAAGGAATCATGATGCTTTCATTGGATGTGTAGTATAGTACAATTATAATTTGTAAGCATACACTCTGGCAACTGTCCTGTCTGGCTTATATGTTCCTGGCACAGACATGCAATTACAGTCCGCTATATAATGGATGTAAAATACTATTTTTTATTTTCCTATAGTTGTATTCCTCAGAAAGTGCCATTCTATGTTGGGTTTGTGGTCCCATTCATTGTTTGCAGTATAGTAACTGGAGTATCACTACTCATTACTGGAATAATGCTAGCAAGAATATCATTCAAAAGTGTCCTATCTCAAGAATATCTCTCTTCTCTCTCTCTCTTCCTTCTCTTTACAATCGGGTGGATAATGGTTCTCTCTAAAGCCAACGCTTCAGCTCCTGTTGCAGCTGCACTTGAAGCAATATTCCTAGTTTTTGGCGCTCCCTTGGGTTTCTATGTGTTTCTAATGTGTGCTCTTGCATCGGGTGACGTGAGGACTATATGGCAGAAGAAGTTTGGTAAAGTTATTCGCAAGTGTAGCGTGAAGCTTAATGAGTCAACTGATGCATCAAGTAAAGGGAAAAGGGATTCATCTTTGCCATCATCAGTAAAGGAACCTTCCATGAATAAAAATGATTCCAGCGATAACAAGGAAGTAAAAGATAGAGCCAAAGAAGATAATGCATCAAACTCTTCCGACATTGATGTATAGAAGCACTCATGCAAGCTCATAAAGAACCATGCATACTATATTTGGGATTTTTGATGATTTTTTATTTCCATGCAGAAATTTAATTTATGTCTCATCCACATAAATGTAATCCGCCATTTCAAATTTATTGTTACTATTATTATTATTATCATTATTATTATTATTATTAATTTTTTATGTCTGTTATAGAAATTTCAGCTATCACATTAATTTTATTATTATTTAATTCTGAAAATTTTCGCATGAGCTAGAAACAAGTTGACGGCAGAGCCTTGTGATCGCCCATCAAGACAGGGAGGGATGGTAATGTTCCTGCATTGAGCTCCATAGTCAGGACAACAGCTCCCATCACTGTTATTATCAGTGTACCAAGGAGTGCAGCCACTCTTACACCAGCAATATCCACCACCTCCGATCGGCTGAGCAAGAGGCTTCTTACATGTTCCTTTGCAAGATGGAAACTGCTTATCTTGAGGTAGGCATAGATTAACATAATCCAGACAGCAGTCAAGGTGTTTAGGACACTGTGAATCACAGTAGCACACTCCACCACTTGATGTATTGATTGGTGTACTATTGTTACAATGACCAGCACAAGAAGCACCCACTGGTCTCTTTATGCCAACATTGAAATTCATATCATTCTGAGAGCAGGAGATATTGCTCTCACGAGTGTTTTCTAAGATCCAGCAGTCTAACCCAGGCACTACTAACTGGCTGGTTTGGTATAAGTACTTGGAGCAGGTTTTATATTCCAAGCACTTATTCTTGCATTTATCCTCCAATCCAACCAGCCCAGCCCATACCTGTGACTTGTGATCTGATGACAACATGCACCGAATTTGTGGAGCATGGAAGAGGATTCGTGTGTCTGGTGGAATCCTTTGCTTTACATTATCGGTGCCCCACCACCAATGGAACCTAGGATACCGAACCGAGCTACTCTTTTCTGGAGAGCTATTGCAAATGTCACTGAATGGTGGAAAAACTGCTGACCTGGTCCAAGCTGCATCACTTGTCTTAGATACAAAGTTTTTTACTCTCTCTAGTGTGTCATCAGGTAAACTGCCATTCTCTCTCAGTAAGTCAGTGAAGTAGCTTAAGTGAAGCATGAAGATACCATTAAATGAAAAAAAGTCGCTTCCAGGATCTGATATATCTCCTTTGCACATTCCGTTGAAGTTCTGGTAGCTTCTAGGTTCATCAATAAGAATACCTTCATCTGTAGTATAGTTGCTCAGTATAGCTTCTAATGCTCTCATTCCTACTAGTAGATACGTCTTGTTACCAGTCCTCCTGTACAGGTAAGCTGCTGAACTCATCAGTAGTCCTTGATTATACGAAGTACCTGGTATCTTTGAGTTGTGACATTTAGCAAATGGATCAGTTGATGAAGAATTGCAGCATTTCTCTGGAACAGCACCAGTTGATACTAAATACTTGTCACTCATTAAACCATACCCATCATCAAAACTAAAGAACCAGTTCCACACTTTCTCTGCCTTTAACAAGTAAGTATCATTCTTTGGAAAGAGATAGGCTAGCTTTGAAGAGAGGTGCATTAGTTGAACGATAGTGATGGAGTCTTTATAAAGTGACGTTGGAGAGTCGGACCACCACACTCCACCACATGTACCATCCCAGCCATTAATCCACGACCACTGAAACAAATCAACAGAATGCTTTAACCAATTTGGATCCTAAAAAAAATTAACTTCAAAACTTATATTCTTGTAATGAAAACTTGATAATTCTATTAATGAGCCAACGCCCACTCATAATAATGACAATACATTTAAAGCATTAACTCACATTTGTCCATTCATAGACTTTCAAGTATGTTATACCGTACCATAGGAAATCGTCTATGTAAGTGTAGGAGCTCCAGTCAGAGTTGTACGGGGAATGAGCAAAGAAATTGTCAGCCACATTTGCCCTGTGAGTCGTTTCATTAAAAATCCCATAGTCAGCTATGGACTCCAGTATAGTAGCATCCCACCACCTGTAGCAGCCAGGGCAGTAATCTGGAGATTCACAGCTGCACTCTGTCCAGTTTTTTGCATAAGGACCCAGCCCACCTATCTCCCCACAGGCAAAGAAGAACCCAATATTGGAATGTTGTGGATCAACAGACCAGAAGTATTCGAAGAGCCCGTCTATAGCTTCTTTAACTCTAATCTCTGGACTAGCATAGGGAGAACTTGAGCACCTCGGAGCGAGAAGAAAGAAGAGAAAAAGGAAACGGATCATTTTTTGTAGATTATAAAAAATCTGTGATTAGATCTATTTTACAAGCACAGCCCCTCCCAACCCATAAACTTGACCTTTATTAGCACTCAATCAAAAAAGGGTACACAATAAAAGGTAGCTATAAAATTTAAGAATTTAAGCAGCTTCTTTTTCTTTGAGTTTTTGTTCCAAAAGCAAATGAGCAACAAAGAGGTTCACAGCAGAACCCTGGGACCGTGCATCAATGCAAGGAGGAATTGATATCTTCTCACACACCTCTAAATAGTCAGGACAACAGCTCCCATCACTGTTGTTATCAGTGTACCAAGGATTGCAGCCGCTAAAACACCAGCAATACCCACCACCTCTTATAGGCTGAGCAACAGCTCTATTGCACTTTCCTCTTCCTTTGCAAGAGGGGACAGGAGACTTAGGTTGACAATAATCAACATAATCCAGACAGCAGTCAAGGTGTTTAGCACACTGTGAATCACAGTAGCATACTCCACCATTAGCCGTTTTGACTGGTGTACTTAGATTGCAGTGACCCTTGCATGTACCACCTACCGGTCTCTTTATACCAACATTAAAATCATAATCCGTTAAATTGCAAAAGTGGTCCGTACGATTATACGACCATATCCAACAATCGGTACCTGGGACAGCGCTCTGGTCCGTCTGATAGAGATACTTTGAGCAGTTCTTGTACTTCATGCATTTTTCCATGCACTTTTCCTCTGACCCAAACATTCCCTCGAGGATCTGAGAGTTGGTCCAAGTATAGCAGCGAAGTTGGGTCTTGTGGATGTACATCCTTGGATCAGGTGGTATGATCTGAGCAGTGTTGTTTTTTGCCCACCACCAGTAGAACTTAGGATACGTTAGTGTTGTATTTACCGGACCAGTGTTGCAGACATCTGAAACATTATCAAATGGAGGCCACACTGCTGATCTTGTCCAAGCAGCATCGCTTGTCTTTTGTACAAAAGCTGCTACTTCGTCTAGCATCTCATCAGAGAAGGTGCCATTTTCTCTCAGTGTATCAACAAAGTAACCAAGATGAACCATGAAGATACCTTGGAATGAGAAGAAGTCACCGCCAGGATCTGAAGTAGAGCCCCAACAGTAGTCATTTTGATAGTTCTGGTAGCTTCTAGGTTCATCGATAAGAATACCTTCATCTGTAGTATAGTTGGCCAGTATAGCTTCTAATGCTCTCATTCCTACTAGTAGATAGGTCTTGTTACCAGTCCTCCTGTACAGGTAAGCTGCTGAACTCATCAGTAGTCCTTGATTATATGAAGTACCTGGTATCTTTGAGTTATAACATTTAGTTAAGGGATCCTTTGATGAAGAATTGCAGCAATTTTCAGGAAGAGCACCAGTTGATACTAAATACTCGTCAGTCATTAAACCATATCCATCATCAAAACTAAAGAACCAGTTCCACACTTTCTCTGCCTTTACCAAGTAAGTATCATTCTTAGGAAAGAGATAGGCTAGTTTTGAAGAGAGATGAAGCATCTGTAACATAGTAATGGAGTCTTTAAAATGATGATCAGGGCAATTGTTCCACCAGACACCACCACAGCCAGTATTGACTGGATTTTTATCCCCTCTATCATCGTCCCAACCATAAAACCACGTCCAGTTGTATATACCGAGAGAACGATTCAGCCATATTGGTTCCTAAGAGTAAATAATAATTAAATTTAGATTTATGCACACACAATTGACTAACCTGAAGCCATTCGTAGACTCTTAGGTAAGCAATGCCGTACCACAAGAAATCGTCAATGAAAGTACAAATGGCTGTGGCATTCCATTTATCGTTGTATGGCGAATGAGCATACATGATGCTTGGGATAGTGGCATTTCTTTTAGATTTTGTGTAGATGCCATAAGTAGCAATAGACTCGAGAGAGACAGCATCCCACCAGCGATAGCAGTCAGTGCAAGCATCTTTTGTGTTGCAGCTACACTTGTTCCACACTGTAGGCCCGCCCCAGCCTCCTATTTGACCACAGGAGAAAAAGAAGCCAATTTGCTTTGCTCTGGGATCATGTTCCCAAAAATAATGAAGCAGGCCGTCCAGAGCATTTGTTGCACGATCTGTAGCATCAGGTAGGATCGTCTGGACCGGGGTAGTATCTTTTGCTGCTTGGATACAGGAAAATGAGAGCGAGAAAAGGAGCAGGGCTGTTACAAGTGTGACAGACATATTGTTATTGGTGTAAATCACTAGAGATATTCAATCAATATTCATAGAGAAGAAAAGCACGTGATTATGAGCTTATCACAGCATTTTAAAAACATTGCATAACAGCTTTATGATTAATATTAGATAACAAAAAACATGTTAATAAGCATTCAATTGTTCAACATGCAAATGAGCAATGAAGAGGTTCACAGCAGATCCTTGAGATCGTGCGTCAAGGCAAGGAGGAATCGATATTTTCTGACATTCTTGAACGTAATCAATACAGCAACTACCAGCACTGTTGTTATCAGTATACCAAGGATTGCAACCGCTAAAACACCAGCAATACCCACCACCTCTTAAAGGAAGAGCAAGAGGCTTATTGCAAATTCCTTTGCAAGATGGAAACTGCTCATCTTGAGGTAGGCATAGATCAACATAATCAAGACAGCAGTCAAGGTGTTTAGGACACTGTGAATCACAGTAGCACACTCCACCACTTGATGTATTGATTGGTGTACTATTATTACAATGACCAGCACAAGAAGCATCCACTGGCCTCTTTATGCCAACATTGAAATCATAATCGGTTCCGTTGCAAAAGTGATCAGTCCGATTGTATGACCATAACCAGCAATCAGTACCAGGCACTTCTTGATATTGACTGTAAAGATATTTAGAGCAACTCGAATTTGTTAGGCACTTCTCTTTGCAAACATTTTCATCATTCGTAAGGCCTTCCCACAGCTGTGTATCATTA